TCAATAGGTATATCTCCTGGAATATGGGGACTTTGACAAGGCCTACTGGTGCAACAAGGACACACTCAAGGCTATCTATTAAAAGCATCTACCAGCACTCAAAAGCTGTCACTATCCTTCTTGCAGGGACAACTCAGGAAACTCTCTTTGCCAAGAGCCTCCAGGAGGATTTCCAGCTTTTGGGGCTCTCTTTTAACTATTTTTCCCATCACTCTAGCTGGGACTATCACCTGCCCTACAGGGGGAACAGCCCACAAAGTTCACTTGCAGGGATGCCATTAACTCAAAGTCCCTTGTTGGGGGGTCACTGCACACCTTGTCCTTTGTTTGCCCTCCCCAGCAAAGATGCTTCCAACAGTTCTGAGAGATCTGGCAGACCCAGAGCTCTCCTCAGGGAATGCTTCAGCTGCTTAAAGGCTGCCCTTGCACCATCTAGCCAAGGCAGCAAATGCTTACAGGCTCTTCTTAAAAGCTGGTATAAAAGTCTTACCACACATCCAGAGGGAGCAATCCAGAGTCCACCCCGTCCTACCATTGCCAGGAAGGCAGTTCAGGGGCTGTCTGGGGCTCAGGGAAGAGTCAGGTGGCTTCTCTTCTTCCTTTCCCCTTTCCAGATTTTCTCCTTCAAAGGCAACGGCCATCTTTTAAACCTAAGGTTGTCATTCAAGGTGGTTCTCTCAGGTCCTGCACTCATCAATCATCTTGGCCATTGGTTCCTTGGCAGGTTCTTGCATTCACGTCCTACAAGCAAACCAGGATGAGCCAATTTAGCTGTTACTGCAACCAATCCAAGCTGGCATTCTGATTTTAAAGGATACTGGCTTTGCCTTACCCATATAGATCCCACAGCAGGGGTAATACCTACAGGTTCTGCCCTCTTCCACCCTCCTGCAACTCCACTGGCCCACACCACAGGAACAACTGCAGCTGCCACTTCAGTCGGGACCTTGCTGCTGACAGGAGTTATTCCCTGCACAACAAGAGCTGCTGCTTTGACACATTTAGTTCTAGCAATTACAGTTTCAACATCCCCAGTTTTTCATTTCATTTCTGCCTCAACTTTTCCACTCAATCTCTTCCTAGCCCAGGTTTGGCTGAGTTTGGCAAATAGGGAAACTGAGGAATTTCCCAATGTTTTCCCAGTTTAACCCCTGTCACACCAATCACCTTAACACTGCCAGTCCTTAATTCTCCTTCTCTTGTGTTAAGGACTGAGGAAGTTGGACCTGGGTCTGACCAGGACATGTGCCAACCAAATGCTGGGGACTGGAACACACACCTTGCACTCCTGCAGCTCTCACCATTACATTCAAGAGAAAACAGTCAATTGTACCATCACTGCTCATTTCTTAATCCCAATCCCACACTTCCTTTGCACTTGGAGCACCACTTTTAGAACCCAATTACAGTCCAGTAGAGAGCTCCATGTCTAGCATGGACAGCTACACCTGGGATACTCTCAGGAATGCCTGAATCCATTGCAGGGACCTTGCTTTGAACTCCCCAGGGCCGGGCACCCCGAGGATCTCCCCGAATAATCCTTTCGGTGCGCGCTGGAGTCCTCGGGGTGCCCCAACCCGGGGGGCACCAACAGCACTGTCCCTCCAGGGGGGCCCAATTTGGTCCCAAGGCTTCAATGGACAACCCAAAAGGCATTTCAAGAGCCCTTCTTTGGAACCCACCAACGGGGACGGGGAGGAAGCCACAACAAGGCCTCATTTCTAAATGCAGGGGGATCTTGCCTGTGTCCCAGACTGGTCCGGGGATCTGAGGCCCTTCCCGAGAAAATCTCGGTGCCGGCGTGAAGGACCAGAGATCCCTTGGAGCCACGGGAGAGCAGGCACAGAGTCCCTCCTGCAGGGCCAATTCTGCTGCCTGAACTCAGCTCTTCAAAGAAACTTCTAAGACTCAGCTGGAGAGGTTTAGAAGCCAGGCATTCCTACACACTATGAGATATTTTAAAGGCTTACTGAGTGAAAAAACATCAAGCTTTTATCAGTGACATCTGATCTCAAACAGACAGCTTCTTTCTCCTTTCAGTACAAAATTATTTTCATGGAATCATTTAAGAGGAAGTGCCCAGGAACCCCAGACTGTGCTTTCCAGAACAGAAATTCAACAGAGGGAAGGAGCTTTGCACGAGTGTAACATACTCCAGAACACACCTGACTTTAGTTTTACTCTTGATGTTCAAATACAGCACAAGACAAAAACTCCAGCAGGAGAGCTGGCACATTACCCATGGTACCCTGAAAGTCCACCTTAAGAGAGCTGAGGAAAAATCGCAGTTGTGCCAGTCCCTTTTGCCTGCAGATACCTGGGGATCCTCTCCATCCACCTCATGCTCTCCCAACAGCAGAAAGGGTGACCTCGGGGACATGGTGGCACTCCACATCCTGCGGAGAGAGCAAGGAAACCTTTAGCAGAAAGGGGAGTTGGAATCTAAAACTTCCTTTCCTGGGAGCTTTGGGAAGCCTGCAACCAAGAGGGGGGAAATTTGCATCTCCTTTGGTGCAGGTGTCAACAGAGGCCAACAGAGCTTGCACCTTTTTCAGACAACTGTGCCCTTTTTGGCTCCCTGGCAGCTCCAATGGCACCAGGACCCCCTTCCTGCACACCCACGGCTGTCACACACAGCCACCCACACACCTTTGCTCCAGCCCACACGTGGCCAACATTTCCTCACCCTGCACATCCCAAGGGCAGTAGTTTTGCTAGAGAGCACAGCAACCCCCCTGTCCTCACAAACTGCCTCCCTGCAAAAAAAGGAATCATTTCTCCTGGACACTTCGCCCACAGTCAAGGGCTTTTCAAATGTGCTCAGGGTCCCTCCCGGCTTCTGCCTGTCCTTGCATTTCAAGGCATGGGCATGTTTCAGCAGCAGAACCCAGCTCCTCACGGGCAGTATAAGCCCTGCTCTTACCTGGACAGACTCCCGGGCTCGGCACAGCTGTGGCTCATGGAGCAGCTTCCCAAGGCCCTTCTCTCTCCCGGCAGGAAGCACAACTCGCCTCCACTCCCCAGCACCAGGGGAAACCACGAGCCAGGCTGCAAATTGACACAGAACCAGCAAAAAGCATTAATGCAGCACCAAAAAAAACCAAGCTAAAGCAGTCTTGGCCTCGTAACCCGGCACAGGGAAAGGGTTTGGAATTCCAAAGCAAAACTCGATCCACCCAGAGAGCACCAGCCCCGCAGTCCTGCCACGGCTCCCCCAGGGTCACCCGGCAGGGAAGGGGTTTACCCGGCCCCCGCTGCCCAGCACAACGCGCCCCTAAACGCCCCCCGGCTCCCCCGGCCCACAAACCCAGCGGCCAAGGCGCTCTCCCCTCCGCAGCCCGGGCAGCAGCGGGGCCGCGCCCTCAGCCCTCACACACACAACCGGCCCCACCCCCCCCGCCGGCCCTTTATACCGCGGGCCGGCAGCGCTGCCCAATCAGCGCTCGAGCGCCGCCGCCCAATCCCAGCCCGCCGGTCCCCGCGGCCCCGCCCCGCCCGCTCCGCTGAGGGAGATCGGGAACTGGGGACAGGAACCTGCTGCTGGGGGAGACACCCTGGACATGGAATTGCACACGGGCACCTGAAGCCCAGGCGATTCGCTTGCCTTGGCAAGGCCCTGCGTTGCTCCCAGGCACAGGAAATCTCTGTTTCCCTGCCCAGCCCTGGAGACAGGTGGCCCCTAAAATCCCCGGCAATCAGGAAGCCCAGGCTGCAGGAGCTGGCAGGACCCAGTGGCCGTGTGTGCCGTGTGACACCGTGTCCTGCAGCCCCACGGACCTGCACAGCAGGGACAGGTCCTGGCAGCGTTTCAGTGCCGAGGCCAAAGCTGGGGCTCAGGGACAGCTGGGGCACATGGCAGCTCTGGGAATCTCTGCCATGGATGGCTGGCCATTCCAGGACTGCCTGCTGGGCAAAGGAGCTTCTCTGCAGACTGTGGAACCAACAGGTCTCATGGACTGTAAGAAGCCAGAACTGCTGCAGGACTGTAGAGGAATCTGGGTCAGAAGAGACAGTTCAAGGTCTCTAAGTCTGACCTCCTGCTCAGGCCACAGTCACCAATGGGATCGGACCGGGCTGCTCAGGGAGGGATCCAGTCATGTTTTGAAACATTCCACGGATGGGGATACAACAACCTCCCCAGGCAACCCATTCCATGAGCGACTGCCCTGACAAAATACCTCCCCCTCCTATGCGGTTGGAAGCAACAGCTGGGCTGGCAGGAGCAGAACCTCCCTGCTGGGCCATTCCCCAGCAGCCCAAATGCCCTGTCCAGGGCTTGGTGCGGAGGCCGGGGCGGCTCGTTCCTCCAGCTGGGCATTTTAGGAGCTGCCCTTGCCCCGTCCCTGCCAAGTCCCTCTGGCAGTGGTGCAGCTCCTCAGCTGGAGTGCCTCTGAGGGACCCCCGGCCACGTTTCCCAGCAGCTGAAGGAAGGGAGGGTCACCCCCCAAGCTGGGCTGCCTTTCTCTCGCTGCCTTTTCCCCACCTTTACACTGCAGTGACAAGAGCTGCACTTTCCCAGGGAACGGGGCAGGGACAGGGGAGAGCAGCAGGCAGGAACCCCCTTCTTTTCTGCAGGCCAATGACTAACTGTGTGTGAAGGGACAGCGACTCTGGTACCAACTCCACCTCCCACTTCTTGTCACAGATCGATCTGAGGCACTTGTCAGGTCAATACCTGCCCTTTGCAGGAGCACCAGGCTCGTGTTCAGTGTCCTCATTGTAGCCCACGAATCCCTCTAGGTGTTAAATCAGCCTCTCTGTCCTGATTCTTCTCATGAAGAATTAGCGTTTAATGAGAGATACAAATTATCCTGAGAGTGTCTATGTTACAAGCTCAGTTTGGCAGTCTCCATGCTGCTCCTTGGCAATCCAGGCGAACCAAGGACGCCTGCTTCCAAATTTCCAGCCACTCCCCCATACCACCACAGTGATCCTCAGATCTCAATTCAATCAGACAAGACTCGACACAGAAGGAGCGAAAATGGACATGAACTCTCCCATAAATGCATAAAGCTACTTTATTTTCAGTAGACATTTAATTTTGAAAAATAGAAATGCTAAAATATCTCATCATCTTTTGATTCCATAAAAGTCACAATAGAAAGCTTCATAAAACTGTAAAATACTACAATGTTATAAGGAATTTCACGGTTTCTATTACTGGGAAAAAAAATCACTTGAATAAGATTTGAAACGTTTTCTGCTTTTTTCCTTTTTGTTCCACCATCCTGATCCACTTCATTTCATCCCAAGTTTTCATTCTCTCCTCCAAAGCAAATACAGACTTAGGAGAATTAAAAACAATAATAAAAGTAGCTGAAAGTGCTGTTGATTCAAAATCAAAATCCAAATACAAAGGTGTATCAGCAGGCCAGAGGCTGGTGGCCACCGTGTTCCCGGAGCTGGGACAAAGCTGGCTGTGGCTGGTGGCCGTCAGGGGTCCCACCGGGAGCTGGGACCTTGGATTTGTGAGGGGAAGGTCGTTGTTGACGGCCGACTCTGATCTCAGAGGGCTTTGGGTCAGCCTCCACACCTATTCCCTGAAGCGCCCACCCAGGCTTTTCCTACGAAATACCCAATTTGGATTGAGCTGCTCCTCTTCAGGCCTTTTCCCACGTCTCTCCAGCCTTTTCAGAGCAGGTTTCAGCTGCGTTCCTGTGACATACAACACAGCTTTCATGGAAACGGAAGCGAAGACCCCTTGAGAGTGAGCGGGGGATGTACAGAGGGGACGGCTCCTTCGTGGGAACAGATGCTCAAATTTGGCATTTAAGGTCTCAGCACCATCAGAAAATCCTCTCGACTTCACCAACAGGAACTTTGGTTTCACAAGGACCAAGCGGCAGCACATGCCCTTCCTCTGCAGTGGGGTTGTCTCCATCAGGGAATTCACCTGGACAGCCCGGGGATTCTTTCTTCTTATTTTAATTTTTGGACGAAGCTTTTAGTGTGTTCCCTCATGTCCTGGTGAAACCCAGTTTCCCAAAGGCTTGTTTAGATGCACACACCAGTATAAACACGCTACAGAGAGAAAATCCTCCCCTGAGGTGATTGCTCACTTGGTGCCACCCCAAAATCCTGGGATGCCCGTGCCTGGCCTGCTTGGTCCTGCTGCATTGCCGGGTCTGGGGCTGAGAAGCTGAGTAGCCAAGATTTCGGGTAAATTCCACAGATGATGGTGTGGGATGCAGGAGGATGCAGATCACATCCCGTCTCCTTCACAGCAAAGATTACTCATAAAAAATAAACCCCATAAAACCAACACAACCCTAAACCAGCCAGATGCTTCGGAGCAGAAGGTGTTAATGGAACCGATCCAGCCCTGCGCCACGTCCTGGAGATTGTGGTGTGGTGGGTTTGTTTTCTTGTAAAAATCACATTATATATGGTACAATACATTTTTTACAGAAAGCCTGGCATCTAGAAATAAGAGGTAGAACTTTTAGATACTTCTGTATCTGAAACCCACAGAGCAATGCTCCGGTTGCCCAAGGCCTCTCTATGCCACCAAAAGGAAAGGGACTTGGGTCCCAGCTCTTAAACCCTAAGGATAATTTAAGGATTTATCATCTAGGGGTTTAGGTCCTACTCCCAGGAATTACCAGTCTGGCAGCAGCTCTAATTTATTACTCTGATTTGTATTTCTCCCCTCCCAACTCACAACAAAACAGTATAGGACACCCTTAGTATATTAAAAAGTCAGCCCAAAGGCAAAAAAGCCAAGGTCAGCTGTGATTCCTCACTTAAAAGAGGAAAATGTAAAGTGGGAATGACTGAAAATAAAGATTACAATCAGAATTTACGGATGTTAACATGAGAAATTAAAACCAAGAGAAGAGCACAAAAGCAAATCATCGAAGAAGGGAAATAAGTTAATGACCAACTGATCCCTGCCTGGGCAGCTTAATGACACAAATAATTAATTACTCTGTTAAGTGCTGATTTTTTTTGCAACTGCTTGGCACCTAAGGAAACAAACAGTGACAGGACAGCGCTGCAAATCCAGAACACCAGACTCAGAGGAAAAAAATAAATCCCACCATCAGCAGGTTAACACCAAGGGGGAGGGGAGGGGAGAGGAGAGGTTCGGAGAGGAGAGGTTCGGAGAGGAGAGGAGAGGTGAGAGTGGGTGGCCAGGAGACCTGTCAGGAGCTGGAGAAAAGCACTTAAGCTGGAGGCACCAGAAGGAACAACATTGATTTTGTAACCAGCAAAGGAAAAAAACCCCAAAACAAAAAGCTCACAAAAGCAAAATCTGTCATAAAGCAGAGGCCTGGAAATTAAAAAAGAGAGGAAAAAAAAGAGAACAAGAAAAAGTACTTCTCAAGTAAAAGGAAAGATTAAAAACTAAAAAAAAAATCACTCTAAATATATAGATATATATTTGTAGTGCAAGTCAGAGTCAAGCAGGCATGCGAGAGGTTAGTTCTACTCACTGTCGGCAGGTTTGCTATCACTTAGGAAAGGCTCCATGATGTCCATTGGTATTTTAATACTTGGGACTTTTTCTGAGTAGGGGCAGACTGTGAAAGAAACGTGTAAAAGCTCTTAGAACATTCCCACTGCTCTCTCTCTTATCGTCTCCCACACATTAAAATTATCCTTCACATAGTTTCTGTAGGAACGGGGGAAAAAAAAGAAGGAAAAAGAGAAAAGCATTGTCCAGCTTAGTTTTAGTTGCCTGGTGGATTCCACTGGTTCCCCACTGCACCCCACTTCCCCTTGTTCTTCACACTCCAAAAGTAAAACAGACTGAAAGGATAATCTTGTGGAATTGTAAATTAACACAGATCTTCCCCTTTCCCACCCCACCAGCTTTTAAGACACCATCCCATTCTGCTTGGAGTCGGCTGCAGGAAATACAGACAGAAAACGGATCTGTAGGCAGACATAGCAGGGCACTGGCTGCTGGGAAAGCTCATCCAAACCCTTTATCCTGCCGGCATTTCTGTAAAAGCCCTTAGTTGTTCCCAGTTGCTCTATGAGGGCAGAGGTTCCGTATGCTGGGCTGGTTCAGCAACTCCTCTTTAATTGGGGTAAAACCCAGCCTCAGTTACACCTCTAGTTCATCAATTCCAGGACCCTTGGAGGGATTCAGGATCCCTGGCCTGGCAGGACAAACAGCAACCAGGTCAGGAAGAGGCAAAGGGAAAAGCTGGGGTACCAGGAGGGCTTACACCCCACTGCCTTCTGTCACCCCACCTGCTTATGCTTAGCAGACGGTACTTGGAATTATTCTGCTTTGTTAAAAATAAAGGAAACTTCTCATAGCCAAGGAAAGGCTGATATTGCCTAACTTGGCAAAGGCAGGAAGGTGGGATTTGCAAGAAACATTGGGACAGCAGCCCTGTGCCCCAGGACAGAAAGCCTGTGAGCTTTGGCTTTCAGGTGCAGTGTGTGGCGCAGCCTGGGCACTCTGTGCGGAGTAAGTGGTCTGTTTCCTGCTATTCGAGCAAGCCACATCAGCTCATCTGCACCTAAGGACCTTGTGAGGTAACCAGGAGACGAGTTGAGGTTCTTCCTCGGAGATTTTTACTTCATGGAGGAGCTCCTTTCAGTTCAGCGCGGGTGAACGGAGCTGCACTGCAAGCTCTAATCATCTCATCATTGAATGCAGCTGAGGGCGTTTGTGGGGGATTTAAACTGCAGGGAGAAACTGCTCCCAGCTCAGCCCGGCTCAGCCCGGCTGCCTTGCGAGACCTAATCAGCTGAGCAGGGGGTGGAGTCCAGGTGGTTTCTGGGGGATAGAAATTGGAGCAGGGGAAGAGGGGTGTGGCCTGTTCGTAAGGCATGGCGCTTGGAACAGCGGGTCGTCCGGGCAGAGGGAGTAAAAGAGAAGAACCGCTCTCCTTCCCAGCTGTCTGTGGTGGCCTATGAGGTAGGTCTGCGGCTAAGGGTTTTTCTGGAATAGGACTGGGAGTTTAAGTGGAGCACTTCCTCAATAGACGGGGTGCAGTTCAACAATGGAAAGAAAAGCTTTACCGTGTGTCTCTCAAGTTCAGCTAATGGCCCACTTTTGGTAAAGGGGGGCAGCCAGGGCTTTCTGTGCTGGCACCTTTTCCCTGCGAGGAATCCTCGTTTGGGTCGGGTTTGGGGGGGTGTTACAATCTGCTAAAATATTGCAGAAAGAATTTTTATATTCGAATGTTCCCTTGAGCAAAATTAAAACTCATACAAGTTAACTGTTGATGCCAAAACTGCTTTTATTAATTGCTAAGAGATGCAAAGAGAAAGAGGAAAAAATAAGAAAAGGTTAGAAAATGCTAAGATTACTTTTTAGAAGCACAGAAAAAGATTACCACCGAAAAACTACCTATTCGTCCGAGCTGACTTGTGGAGTGTGGGGGGGGAGAGGGAGAGAAAGAAGCAGCTTTCGCCTTTTTTTTTTCTGTCTGGCTCCACCGCCTTTCGGTGTGATGTTATCTCTTTAGCTGCAGGGGGTCTGGAATGCAGCCGGGATGTGGCTTCTCCGCAGCTCACGCCGTCACTCACCCCGGCCCAGTCTCAGGCTTGTGCAGAGGTCTCGGTCCTGCCGTACCTCTCAGAAATGGGGTTAGGGTGGAAAACTCACGCAGGGTAGCACGGAGGGTCCCGGTGCAATTCCGGAGGGCAGAGGTTCAGTCTCTGGTGACGGGCAGGCAGTTTTACGGCGGCGGAAGAAAAGAAAAGGTGAGGGCGAGGCGGAGACAAGATTTTTCAGCTGGTATAGCCAAAATCTCTTGCTCACTCCTCTTTCCCTGGTTTTCCCAAATTTCTCTTCAGCTTTTATAGTGTTTAAGGAGGTAGCCTGTGGTGTTTTGGCACCTAGCCCTGTTCAGATGTTGGCAGAGATAGGATAAGGCTGGACAATACCAGGATCCTTTGGCAGGAAAATTCCCGTGGGAAGCCTCTGGTGAGAAGTTCTGGTGAAAAACTGCCACAGGAGTTTTGGTAGGAAGTTTTTGACCGGCAGAAACACTGGCGAAACATCATTTTTGGCATCTGTATGGTATCTGTCTGTTACCCTCCAGCCCGTGGTTCGACCTTGTTTCTCGGCACATCGAGGTAGTTTTCTTCAGTGGTGGTAATGCGAATCTAGCGAACAGAGGGGGAGAAGGAAACAAGCAAGGGGTTTATCATGCATTTAACCAGGCCAATGCCGGTAATCAGGAACAAAATTCCAATGACAATTGTTATTCCAATTTGTGCTATCCACTTTCCCCATCCCGTAAGTCCAAAAGACTCTAGGATGTTGGTAAGGCATGTTCCATCTAACACTTCTGGTGGTTGCATTGCATAAAACCAATTTCTAGTGTGGTTACTTATTTCTCTCATTGTTATTCGTGCCTCTTCAGTAGAGGTTGAAGCATTATAAATTGTTACACAGCATTCAGTTTCTGATAAATTTAACATTCCACAAACACCTTGTTCTTTTAACAGTAACATATCTAATGCTAATCTGTTTTGCAATGTCATCTTAGTAGTTTGCTGGACTTGAGTGTTTAGTTCTCCAAATGCATGTTGTGTCCAATTGCTTAAAGCACTTAATTGCCAGGTAATATCTTCTAATACAAATTGGTGTCTTTTTAAGGTGACATAGGGGGTAAAGAAATTCTCAAGAAGAAGGGATGCTTTTTGCCCGGTGGTGTAATAATCTGGAAAATCAACTCCTTTAATTGCCCATTTTGGCCTTTGTGTTGCTTTTGGAGAGGGAATAACACTGCGATGGTGACGTTCTTTAGACACTTTAGTGAAAGTAAAGACACGTCTGGGGCAGAGAGAGGGAATTCCAGGTGCACACCTAAGTCCAGCATGGTGCTCTAATGACAAATGTGAATAAAACTTTCCATCGGAGCATCCCCAAGCCATTCCCAGAGGGGCTATATATTTTGCAGTTTTACAGTCAGTATTGTCTGCATGGTCAAGGATGGTGATTTTTGGTTTAGTATTTCTTGGAGTACTGTGGATTGGGTAGTGGGTGTAGGGAACTCCACAGTGATTAAGGAGATATTTGTCGGTCGAGTTACAGGATTCATCCTGATTTCTCCAGCCTTTTGAAGGGTATCTCCAACAAGTACACATATCTCTTATCAAAGTTCTAATTCTGAGTGAAAACCACGTTTCTGGAGGATTTCCTGGTCCTTCTTTGCATGTTATAACCTTTGAGCAATTGAATAAAGGACTTTCTTCTACCTGAGGCACGGTAAATTTGGGTTCTGTAAATTTGGATTTAAAAAATGCTTGTACAGACCATACTCACATTAAGTTTTTCCGGTTAATTGGAGTTATATTTGTCACATTAGGAAGTTGTACACACCAGGAAGGATTAAAAACTGTGTCCTATTTACTTTCGAATACATCTGGTGAGTATAATGGGTCAAAGAGTGGATCCCATGTGTAAATAAGGCAGGGTTGTCTAGCATTATATTCCTCAAAGGTTATTATTCCAGGTTTAAATTCACCTTTACTTGATGCAATAGATGGGTGAGGGGATTCCATTTGAGATAAGATGGTTATATTTACCTTTGGACGTATTGTTTTACACTATTTGGTGCGTGACATCCAGTCTTGAGTTATATTAGGAGGTGGGGTGTAAGTTTGGTAAAGACCATGCACTCTAGGGGTACCTTTCCAGAGTAGTTGGGCTCCGTTGGTCTTGCTGGTCCACTTTTCGGGTAGGGGTAATGGGGCTGTCACACTAGCCATGTTAAAAACAAAAGATAAATTCAAAGGTATCATAAAAAATGGCAATCCTTGTTCAGCAGACTCGGGTAAAGATACACATATGCCTTGATCGGTATGATTCCATATTTTTGCAAACCCTTTGACTAGTTCCCAGGCAAGGTTCCTCTGATTTTGATTTTTAACAGTCTGTTCTGCTGAGCACATGTACAAGGTAAATAACCATACAAACATAACTAACACATTATAACTAGGGTTACCAGCAAACTGAACCATAGTCCAAATCTGAAATTATTCATTCCCAGTTCTGAATACTTTTCTCCGTGGGGTGGTTACCTGGAAAAGAAAAGAAAAAGGTCTGTCTGGCCCCTTTTAGGGCCCAGTATTAAAATGTAGGAACAATCCACCGAGAGCTTATTTTGTGTTCTTTGCCATAAGCATCTTTTGCTTTCCAGGTGTATGTGTTCAATGGAGTGGTCAGTATCATTGCTACGGCTCCTACAGTAGGTAGTTCCACTAATACAGGTTGTCCAGGAAAGTGGGAGGGTTTCTGATTATTCTCAGGTTTTGATGTTGCTGGTATCAGAGAGGGAGGCTGTGGATAAAAAGCTGTAAGTCTGGGACAGCCATTCACTCCCCATCTGTCATTTACCATTTTTACAGCATCCCATAGTCGGTTAGTCCAGTTGGATTTCTGAGGTTTCAGAAATCGTTTAAGCAGGCCATTTGTTCTTTCCATTAGGCCATTTGCGTGTGGGTAATATGGTGTGTGAGATATCCACTGGATTCCTTCTTCTTTGGCCCACTCTTGGACGATGGCAGCTGTGAAGTGTGACCCGTTCTCTGATGGAATAGATACAGGTTTTGGGAAAAAACTGAACCACATTTGAAGAGCTTCTAGAGTGTTTGTACTGGTTGCTCGAGGGAAAGCTTCTGCTTGCACTAATCCTGACCCGACTTCCACTCCCACTAACACATCCTGTTTTCCCTCAGACTTGGGGAAGGGTCCAATATAGTCTGTCTGCCATGTGTCCCCCAGCCCTTTTCTGACTCTGATATGTAGCGGGGGTTGTTCTAAGGGTGACGCTCGAGTCGGGTTCTGCACTGTTCACATGAGGATATGCAGGAGCGGCACATCTCTCGAGAGATGTAACTCGAGAGATGCAAAGAGAAAGAGGAAGATGCAAAGAGAAAGAGGAAAAAATAAGAAAAGGTTAGAAAATGCTAAGATTACTTTTTAGAAGCACAGAAAAAGATTACCACCGAAAAACTACCTATTCGTCCGAGCTGACTTGTGGAGAGTGGGGGGGGAGAGGGAAAGAAAGAAGCAGCTTTCCCCTTTTTTTTCTCTCTCTGGCTCCACCGCCTTTCGGTGTGATGTTATCTCTTTAGCTGCAGGGGGTCTGGAATGCAGCCGGGATGTGGCTTCTCCGCAGCTCACGCCGTCACTCACCCCGGCCCAGTCTCAGGCTTGTGCAGAGGTCTCGGTCCTGCCGTACCTCTCAGAAATAGGGTTAGGGTGGAAAAGTCACGCAGGGTAGCACGGAGGGTCCCGGTGCAATTCCGGAGGGCAGAGGTTCAGTCTCTGGTGACGGGCAGGCAGTTTTACGGCGGCGGAAGAAAAGAAAAGGTGAGGGCGAGGCAGAGACAAGATTTTTCAGCTGGTATAGCCAAAATCTCTTGCTCAATCCTCTTTCCCTGCTTTTCCCAAATTTCTCTTCAGCTTTTATAGTGTTCAAGGAGGTAGCCTGTGGTGTTTTGGCACCTAGCCCTGTTCAGATGTTGGCAGAGATGGGATAAGGCTGGACAATACCAGGATCCTTTGGCAGGAAAACTCCCGTGGGAAGCCTCTGGTGAGAAGTTGTGGTGAAAAACTGCCACAGGAGTTTTGGTAGGAAGTTTTTGACAGGCAGAAACACTGGCGAAACATCATTTTTGGCATTTGAATGTTATCTGTCTGTTACAGGGGACAGCAGCCCTGTTTCCCGGGACAGAAAGCTTGTGAGGTTTGGCTTTCAGGTGCAGTGTGTGGCGCAGCCTGGGCACTCGGTGGGCAGCCAGGGCTTTCTGTACTGGCACCTTTTTTCTTCTAGTAATTCTCCTTTGGATCGGGTTTTGGGGGTGGGCGGGCCAGTAATGGCGGACGGGGCTGAGCAGTGGACAGCAACCCTGTTTCCCGGGACAGAAGCTTGTGAAGGTTTGGGCTTTCCAGGTGCA